CCAGTGATTGGATTTTAATGATTCTTGGCTCATTAGATCCGCCTCAGTGAGCTGATTCCAATGGTATGTGTTTCATCTAATTCGGACCGGTGGATCAAAAGTTATTAAGGATTTTGTGTTTTTCCTTAATGTTTTATAGGTCAACACTATAAATAAATAATAAATATTATTATATTTATTAATTGCTAAATCCAAAATTAAAAATAAATAAAAAAATTATCATCATAAGTATATTTTGTTATAATAATTGCATAAAGTTCTTATTTTGTAAATGTAAAAATTTTTATTAATTTAAATATTTTTAGTTAAAACAAAATTTTCTAAATTATTCTTGAATTAGTAAAATTATTATTTTTTAAAAAATTTCGATGCATACTATTTTTATAGTTTCAGATTATGTTATAGTTAAAGTTTTAACCCGAAAGATTTTTAACCCAATCTAAATTCAACCTGTTCAGATAAAAAAATAATAAACTAAAGTGAGTAAAGTTAGATCAAACTCTAAAAGTAAATTCTTAAAATTTTTAAAGAAATTAGTATGAATAAATCAAATTGATAAAAAATAAAAGAGAAATTAGATACTTTTCATTTTTGAGAAAAGTTTCATATTACTATAAATTTTTTTGTGCAAGACAGATAATATTATAAGATTTGTAAAACTATAAAAACGTGTAAATAAATTATAAGATACTTTTGAATTGAGTTAAAAATAATTCAATTTTTAATATTTTATATTTTGCATACCTGAATTAAATTTATTAAATTTCGTCTTGCTTCTTATATCTTATTGGCTCTTAGTAAAATAAAATTTAAAAAATTTTTTTTTATAAAAATTATGCAAAATAATGAAGAAAACCTTAAATATTCAGCTCAACAATCGTCAACACCATCTGTATTAGTAAAAACTTATGGTGACATCTATTTTAATACCCAAAATACAGAAAGTGCTGTAAAATTTTTTGAAGAACTTGGCATTTTGCCTAAAATACGTTCTTGTTCCAAATGCAAAAGTCCTATGCGAAAAACTAAAGATAATTCACGTGGTGATAAACAAAAATAGTCCTGTAAATCAAGAACAGCTTGTGGTCATTCAACCACTATAAGATCAGAAACCTGGCTAGCCAGATCTAAATTATCTTTAGTACAAATTGCTAAAATTATGTTTTGTTGGTCACATAAATTACCTCAAAAATTTGCAGCCTTGGAATCTGATGTTAGTATTCAATCAATGGTAGATTAGTACAATTTTTGTCGTGACATATGTAGTATAGCACTAATAAATCAAAAAAATAAAAAAATTGGAGGTGAAGAAAAAATAGTAGAAATTGATGAAAGTAAATTTGGAAAGCGTAAGTATAACAAAGGTAAAAAGGTAGAAGAGCAGTGGGTTTTGGAGGAATTGAAAGAGATTCGAATAATATGTTTTTAGTATCTGTTCCTAATCGTACTAAGAAAACTTTAATGAAAATTTTAGAAGAATATATTAAGATAGGAACTATAATTTACAGTGATTGTTGGGCAGCTTACCAAACAAATGAATTTGAAAAATATAGTTAGAAACATGAAACTGTTAATCATTCAAAAAACTTCAAAGATCCTGAAACAGGAGTTCATACAAATACAATTGAGTCAAGTTGGCGTGCAGTAAAATCATCACTTCCACGATATGGAATAGTTAAAGACTTGTATGATACTTACTTTTTAGAATATATGTAGAGGCGACGATTTGTTCAGAATGATGCTGATGTATTTAATAAGCTAGTAGAACATATTGTTTTATATAGCAAAGATTTAGTTGAGGTAGTTATAATTTTTAAATAAAACAAAATAAATAAAATTTAAATTAATACTTACTTTTGAATTAATTTTTAGGAGGCACCATAACAATTCTATAGTTATTATTTATTCTATTTTTAATCAGTTCTTATTTTGTATAAATAAATTAAATAAAAAAATAGATATATTATTATTTGTTAAACTTGCGAGTAATAGGGAAAACTATAAAGAAATTGTAGAAATAATATTAATTATTAACAAGAAATGCATTAAAATAGATGTAAGCTTCAATAAAGTTTTTTTGGAAGCTTTAATTCTTTAAGTAACTAATAAAATAAATAAATAAAATAAAAGTTAGTAATCATACAAAAGATAGCTTTACTATTAGAAAGTTTGAATTCTTAAATTTATCTAAATCAAAATTTAAATGTACATAACTTATTATACTTACTTGTGATACTTTTAACAGATTTAAACATATTTAAAGCATTAACCCTATGCTAATCTATTAAATTTTAAGTTATATCTAATAATACTATATTAAAAAAGAATTAAATTTTTGATAAAACTAAAGAAAAATACTTAACTAACAGACTACTTATGAACCCATAATTGCTGCAGTAAGAATAGAGTATATTTCGACCAGAAGCTTTTCACATTCAAGTATAAAATAGATTAAAATATCAGCTTATTAACTCATGCTGCAATTATATTGAAATCATCATAAAGTCGTCGCAATCTTACAATTGGAAAAGCTACAATTAACTAACACAAAGTTTCTTGGAAAACAACAGTTAAATATAAAAACCTTTAAACAAAAAAAGGTCATGACTACAACATTATTACCATTTTACCTAATTTTATATATTTTATCTAGTATCACTAAATCGACAAAAATTCTTTACACTAGCGTCAATATTAGAGCAGCATGAAACTTTTTTTTTTTTATAACTGTATTATGTTATACTCAATCATGATTCGCAATCATATATAGTATATTATATTACTGTATTAGATTACACAAAAATTGTAGTTATATAATTCGTGATACTCGCATGATTATATCTAACATTTGTTTACTTTTTTAGACTAATTAAAATTACTATGTGATAATATGAAAGATGACGATTTGTGATCATCACTGAGTTAACTCTCCTTTAGGTGTCCCCAATATAGTATTTAGGAGTTTCAGATACAAATTTTGGTCTTTCTCCTCTGCAAATCTTGACCACAAGTTTCGTATTAAATTCATGACCATCAAAAGGTCTTTGACCAGTTGACATCTCAGCCATAATAATACCAAACTCATAAATATCTGCGCTTGTATAAACTGCTGCTCGTTTGATAAAACTTCAGGAGTAACATAGAGCATAACTCCGTAAATTTCGCCACCTGAAACATTCTCATTTTTCTTTCTGGACAATCCTAAATCAGCGATATAGGATTGTGTAGTGCGTTGATCTTGCAAAATATTGCCACTATGAAAATCAGCATGGATGTATCCTGCAATTATGTGAATTTTATATAACTCATATGCAGTATTTTTAAGTATTTGCAATTTAGACTGCCATGTAAGACAATTAAAATTGTTTCTTAAATATTTATAAAGACTTCTATTATCTGCATATTGAAATACCATCAAGTAACCTTTTGTTTCGGTGTTTTGGGTTATTCTATTATTGCAAGCTTACTATAATTTAATTTACATGCCATAAGACTTTTAAACTTAAAATTAAACAATGAATTAGCTCAATAAACAATTAGATAAAATTATCAAAGCAATAAATTATCTTACTTCTTTTATTTCTAACGTCTTGAGTGCAACAATGGTGTAATTTGATTCACATGCTCTTACATAATTATTATCACACCATTAACTTTTCATATGCCATCCAACCAAGTTGCAGAATATACAGAGCCAAATCCTCTTTCGCCAATTTTTTTAACATCATATAATCTATTAAATGGAATCCATTCAATTATATCTTCATAACTTCAGGCTCTAAGTTGGAATTCTTTCATGCAATCATCAATATCTTTATTTCTACTTGTCTACCTTGTTGTTATGCCAGGATCGTATAATAAACACTATGTTTTATAAGTATTATCTTCATTACAATGAGTGCATTTTCCATATTTAGATTCTCTATATAGTATATATAAAGTTTATTTCGCATCTGCAGTTTTAAACTTTATGCCAAATATAAATAATTTTATACTCACTGACTTAAATAAATTAATGTGAATGAAATGATTTGTACGTAATGGTATAAGTATTTATGACCTTGTTTTGTGAACAAGTTTTGCTGTTTTTATGTAGTACAATTATTAAATGTTCTTTATACTCACAAACTAAATTAATGGAATGAAATAATTTGTACGTAATGGTGGTATAAGTATTTATGATCTTGTTTTGTGATCGAGTTTTGCTGTTTTTATATAGTAAAATTATTAAATATCAAATCCGAACTATTTTTAATACCATTGTAATCTGATTAGCTAATACATTTTGATCATTATTAATCCAGATCAGGACCAGTGATTTTCTGCGGTGATTAAGACCAAATTCTGTATATGGTTAAGAAAAATTCTGTGATGCGATGTGCTATTTTTTTTAGCATATTCTGTGTGATTCTGTGATGATAATGTTGATTTCTGTGCAATTCTGTAGTAGTTTAGACTAATTCTGTGATTTAATATGATTATTATACGTAAAATTATTTATTAAAAAATATAAAAGTATAAATATATTTTATTATTAAAATTCTCCAAAAAAACAAAAATGTTAATTGCCATTAAAATATAACATGCTTAATTGCTTTAAAGAATCAAGTGAAAGACTTTGACAGTCACTATTTAAAAGATTATTATACATAGAAAAGCTACGTTCTACACTGCAGCTAGAAACTGGAAGCCAAATATAATCTAGCATAATATTTGATAAATTTGGTAAAGTCAATTGCATCCCTGTCCAATAATCATGAAGATTAATTTTTTCTTCAGTTATTTCATTTATAGATCTACAATAAATTGCTCATTCCTGTAAAAGTTCATGTGATAGATTATTAAATTCAATAATTGCTGAATATTGACGGATATCTTTACGAGAAATATCACCTATTTGATTTCCTATTTTCATATATAAGGGGTCAAAAACATGACAAGCATGAAATAAAGAACATGCAGGATGCTGTGGAATATGTACTGCATATTTATTATATGCAGCAACAAATGCAGATTGAAAGATATTATAAAAATCTTCTAAATTAAAGCAAAATTTGGTGATAAGACCAGATATATCTGGTCCAAAATCATGAGCAATAATATTTCTTTCAATAAATACTGAAAGTTATTCAAGACATCCTTCAATATAAGGAAATATTGGAGTATTTTGCTGCTGAAAAAAATCCAAATCATGAACAAATTCTTGTGCAAAAAGTGTAATAAAATTAATATAAATAATAATAATATTTTTTTTTTGTTAATTTTGCAAAATTTCATTAATTTTAGCAATTAGTTCATGGCTTGTATCTTTTTTTTGCTCCTCAGAATAAAATCAAGGCCAAAAATCAATATGATCTTTAGTATAAAATACCCTTTTAAACCATGAATTCTAATGTGTCTTATTTGATAATAGAATTTTACATGGATTTTTAATTCCATGCATTCGGAGGTGATTTAGATAACGGCCTTTGTGTGCAGGTAAGTTTACAAATGTTTCTTTAATTTTTGATAAAAAATCTTTTAACAAATCAAAATCTGGAAATGTTCGCCAAGTATCACTAATATAGATAATAATTAATTAAATTAAATTTAAATTTATAAATACTGTATACACTAATTAAAATTGAAAAACAGTACTAAATTATAAAACATTTATATTTCATTCGTTAAACATTCAGCAAACATTTATCAAACATTCAGTAGCTGAATGTTTGATAAATGTTTGCTAAATGTTTAACGAATGATATATTAAATATTTTATGATTTATTGCTATTTTTTACTAGTGATATTAAATTAATTTATATTTACCCAATAAGATTAATGATATATGCGCAACAAGAAACATGAATTAATTGTGGCATAACTAGTTTTAAAACTTCATGATAGCATTTTTTCATATAAGCCGCAGAATCAGAAAAAAATAATCTTGGCAAATTATAAGAAATATTATATTTAACTAAAATAGTTAACAAAACTCCTCCAATTGTTGAATTATTTACATGATCTAAAAAATCTACTGAAACTAATTTGGTATTTTGACGAAAACTAAAAAGAGTATTTACAACACTACGTGAACAATCATCTGTAGTTTCATCCATTATTATTGCTACAGATTTTTAATTAAAAAGATTTTGAAGCAAAGAAAGATGATTATCAAAAACATGTGGCAAATAAATTCGTCGTAGAGTAGAAGCTTGAGGGATTGCACCACCTTCTTTAAGATATTTTTTAAAGAATGGAAGTAAACTATCAACTTTTTCTAGAGGAATATTCGCAAAAGAAAAGGCTTTAATTAAATCCTCTATAACTTCCTTTTTTGATTCTGATGCAATTTGTGTAGTAATAAGTGTAACTTGCTTTTTAGATTGATTTTTAATTTGCATATTTTTTTTATGTTCCTTTGAATTACAATGCCCATCAACTGTAGATTTAACTTTCCACTCAACAGAACGATCACAATAATTACAAAACATAATCCCCCCATCTTCTCTAAAAGCACCAGGATGTTCATTCATGCGAGTAGATATTGAAACTGTTTTTTTTCGTGTCGCCATTATACATAATTAAAACAAACGATTAACACTTCTAACATTTATTTTATATCTAGGAAAAATTGTATATAAATTGCTACAATTACTAATTTACCCTCCAAATTCTTGTATTATAATTATTAACGAGCATAAATTTGGAGGTAAATTAGTAAATAGGCATCAACAAGATAAAACTTGGAAATTTTACGAGTTTTCTTTGGCGTTATTCAAATATGAATTGCCAATTATATAATATTTATAAAACACGATTCTGTAATTAACTCTTTATTTTTTTGTGTTGCCATTGTACTTAATTAAACCAAATGATTAATATTTTAACATTTATTACATGAATTGCTGCAATTACTAATTTACCCCAAATTCTTGTATTATAATTATTAATAAGTGTGAATTTGAAGGTAAAATTAGTAAATAGCGATAGGTATCAACAAGATAAACATGGAAAATTTACAGGTTTTCTTTGGCGTTATTCAAATGTGAATTGCCAATTATATAATATTCTAACTATTTTTATACAAAACACGATTCTGTAATTAACTCTTTATTTTTCGAAATTCTGTGATATTCTGCGGTGATTAAGGTTAATTTCTGTGATTAGCTGTTTTTAAGAAAAATTCTGCGGTGTTCTGTGAAACACAGAAAATCACCGGCCCTGATCCAGATAATAGTATAATAAACAGATACGTATAGATAACAGATAATGGTTTTTTTGAACAAATAATTATCTTAAGATAAACAGATTATCCGGATCCAAACACTACATAAAACTAAGGTCCCTATTCTAGATCACGGAACAATATCACATGTAAATCAACCAATCAAAAAAAAAATCGAATTTAAACATACAGTAGATAATTAGATACGATACAGCAATATATATCTAAGATGGTTAGTGATCGATATATAACTGATAACCAATATGATACGTACGTAGTGTAATTATTTGTATTAGTTAATTATCAGTTACAAATTTTTTATTAAAAAATTTACATATTCACTTTGTCTCGCACCCCTATAACAAACGTAACCATCAACTACTAAACTGTAACTAACCAGCTTAGATTTAAAACTCCATCTCCTATACCAATACAACAATTTCCTATATTTCGTGCCGTTCATAACAATTTCTTCCACTTTGTGCTATTCCATTTCGCGCCGTTCATAACAACCTGATCGTCGGTTATAACGTAATTAACCAGTCCAGGTCCCAAATTTGCTGGTAGAGTGCAAACCTACAAAAAAAATATTAGTGCATAAAAACAAGAAAATAAACAAGAAAACAAAAAAGAAACTGGTACTTATCGTAAAATAAGTTTCAGTTTCCTTCTAAATCCCGAATCTCTAATTCCCGACGAAATCTGAACCTATAAGAAAAAAAAAATTAGCAAAAAAAAAAAAGAAAAATGAAACAAGAAAACGAAAAAGAAACTGGTACATATCGTGAATCTATAAGGGAAGAAAAAATTAGCAAAAGAAAAGAAAAATGAAACAAGAAAACGAAAAAGAAACTAGTACTTATCTAAAATAAGTTCCGGTTTCCTTCTAAATCCTGAATCTCCAGTCCCTGACGAAATCTGAACCTACAAAAGAAGAAAAAATTAGCAAAAAAAAATAAAACAAGAAAACGAAATCGTACGTCGATTATTCTAGAACGTGATTTCCCAATTCGGTAAATCGTTAGACTGGATTAAAACAGAAACAGGTTCAATATGTGATAATATTTTAGGAATTACATATTCAATCTTCTCCAAATCAATTTCGAAATAGGGGAGCCAAAAATGTTTTGATTCGAGCTATCGTTTCATTTCCCTATCATTAGGAATACAATTAAAATGAGCATATAAAAAGTTCAATTTTTTGTACTTACCCCTTCGGATATTTGTTTAAATAATCTTACATGTAAATCATTGGCAATTTCAAAGGAATATTTATATCCTAATTGTACGAGATCACATCAACCCAGTCCACAACGGTATGCATATAACATTCGTTGAGGAGCACTAAGGGGACTTAGGATGCAACGGCATACATCAAAATCCAATACCAAATAATAATGGCAATATCCGGGATCACAGCAACCCAGTCCACAACGGTATGTCAAATAACATTCGTTGAGGAACACTAAGGGGACTTAGGCTGTAACGGCAGATATAAAAGTTTTATGTACCCTTTCTATATTAGGAATTGAACTGATACTTCAAAGGAATTGGATAAAACTAGAGATATAGTAGATACAAGATGTGTAAGAAAAATGTTGAAGTCTATATTTTTATTAATAATTCTTAGTTGCAAAGGATAAATTTGTATGACCGTCACCAAGTATTACTCTTATCAGGGTTATATTAAAGGAAAAGAAATAGAAAAAGGTAATATTCAACGATAAGTTCGTTGTTCTCTAACTCTTTTTGCTTTGATTGGCGAAGATTTAGCTTCAAAAATTCTTTTACTTCTTGCTAGAGCTCTGATCTGATGAAACTTTAATTTACTGGCTTCCACCCTTACCTGTATATTGGTAAGCAATTTAGGTATTAACAAAAAGCTTAAGCAAACTCTTTTGAAAATAAAACGAATATATACCTTGAATGAGTAAACGATTTTAATTGCATATAATAGATCTTGAATGCCACTACCTTCTCTTCCCTCAAATGATGGTAAGCGAAATTCTCCTAACAGATACGAGCACATGAGATATTGGGAAGCCTGAAAACTGCCCCAGAACTGAAAATGATTTCCAATCCCTCTTATTCCGAAAAATTCGAGATCACCAATGTTTTTTTTTGCATCTTCCGGCAACGTAAGTGCTTGCATTACGGACATTATTGAGAATCCCTTAAGCAATATGCCTAAATCTTCACGATTGTTTTGGTTTTCAGCTTCATGATAATTACCGAAGCCACCTTTCAGTTCAACCCAAACATTCTCAAATTCTTCATCATCATCAAGTCCATCTACACGAGTTTTTGACTTTATTTTTGATAATATCAATGCTTTATTGTAGTTAGAGACTATTTTTTCTGCGTTTGATTCAATTTCGCCTGGTTTTACTGGTCTCAGTGGCACGAGGAGCCGAGATGCTAACTGTGTTTTGATCCATTGCTCTTTCATTTCTTTTAGAAAAGTACCATCTTGCCATTGCATAATTCTACAAGAAAAACTGTTATTATGTAATATAGCAAGAGGGAAGACAAAGATGACACTTACACCCATTTTATAAACTCAGAAGCCCATAAAATATCTCGCAATCGCTTGTCCAATAGATCAGAAGGAAGAGATGTTGGCCATTTTTTCTCCAGCGATGTCAAGGTCTGGCAAACAGAAAATTCTTTAAGATACAAAACTAATCGTATTCGACTCACAATTTCAAGAACTTTTATAGCATCCTCTTCGATATCGGTCAAGCTATATATCAAATTCAGATTGCCTGGTTCTAAGAGCTTCTTTTTGTTCTCTTCTCCAAACATATTTATTAGCGTTTGTTCGTCATCTTCCATTGAAAACGCATTTTTCAATTTATGTTTTGTTAAAAATGGAATTATGACCTTGTCCCAATAGTCATCACTTATTTGTGATGTACAGTCTGTATCTGAAAAGTTAAAATGGCCACGTTTAATTATACCGATTCTCTTTAGATTATTGCTCAAGTTTATACCGTCCATTATCCAAT